GTGAAGTCTATTTACTTACTGGTTACAACTTCCGATTATGGCCGGTTAAATTTGGTTAAACCCAATTCGCAATCGGTTGAGTTTAAAAATCAGATTTCTAATAAAGTCTACACACAAATTCTACTCGGGAAATCTAACAAAACAAAAAATTGGAACTATTAATGAGAAATTTGTTAAGGTATATTCCGGTTCCCACCCAAAATATTTCGTTTTCGCTCACATTCTTTTAGTTACAAACTTCGCGTCGAAGTCTACCACTGAAGTCTGACTAACGTTAAACCCTAAATCAAATATTTAATATTTAAGATCAAAACTATAGGAAACATTAATTATGTATACATAATCACAATTTTCATCATAAACTATGAATTCATGAGCTTTAAATCGTTAGACGAACCACAAACATTTTTTATGTCATAATCCTCTAAACCCTAATAAACCCCATATATTATACCTCAAACACTAAGTTTGGTGATTGATTTACTCATGAAAGTTATAAATTGATTCATATTCATGAAATTTTATTTTACATAGATAGGATTTGTCTTTATTTAAATTATGTATACTTTTTTTATCAAATTTTTTTTTTTATAGATTTTAACCTTTAAATTTAAGATTTTGTTATTTAGCACACTTTTTCACTAGATCGACTTCACACAGTTTTTTTTTTTTGTTTGAACATAATTTGTCTTAGTTGATTCAAATTGATCAATTTATGTGCAAATTTATTTTTAATTGATAGTACTTGTCTGTGTTAATATTATGTGTTACTAGTTTTGTCAAAACAAATTAAACTTAATATTTAAGATTTACTGTATATTAGAATTCTTGAGTAGACTTCACGTAGTTTATAGGTTACAAATATAATTTATCTCAGTTGACTTAAATGGATTCATTTTTATGCAATTTTATTTTTCATAGATGCCAAATGTTTACATCTTATACGTATCATTTTATTTATCAAAAAAAAATTGTTATAATATTATCATTTAAATTTTAGTTGTGATTAGGAAGTAAAATTCATAAGTAAACTTTATACAGAGAGTAAAACAGTCATTATGGCTAGCGCTTTTCTTTATTTAGAAGGGTGAGGTTTGTAATTTGTAGTTTTGACATAAGTGTAATAAAAGATTTAATTTTGCAATCTAAATCAAATTGTAGACTATATTGGGTCATTCCCCCTTTTATTAATCCAACAACTCTTATAAAAACTCTATAATATTGCCAAAACGATAGTATTGCCCAACTGTTGTCTATAGCTTTCTAATTTTACTTGATCTTATTAAAATAAATTAATTGTTTGGTTACTTATTTTTATAGTGTCTTGAAACCTAAACAATATATTATGTATATGCAGGTCAGTCCACTTATTTTCTTTTGATGTGTCTTCTATGTGTGAAATATATACTATATTTTCTTAATTTGTTACATATTTTATTTAAAATAGAATTTTTCATTTTTTCCCTTTAATATATTAGTATAATTATCTTTAGTATCTATCAAAAGAAAAATGTGCCAGGAAAATATTTAAAACATAAGGAATATTTTTTTTTTGCTAAACCAGGTCTAAATAACGCTAAATTTTAGTAAAATATTATATAAGAAAATTTAATTATGTTTTTATAAAATAATATTTCTTTTATCTTTATTTTTTATTTGGTCGTAATTTTTTTTTTGATATTATATTATTTTTTGGTAAATTATTTTATTAAAATTAAGAATTCTTTTTTAAAATATACTCTAGACTAAATAATTTTCTTGATCCACCACCTGATCTCGTACTATGTTTGTTTTCTTCTTCCCAATGTAAACATATTCATTATAGATATCAAACGTAAATGACATAACGTCTGGAGCTGTGGCGACTGCCTCTTTCACCGTCGTAAAATTTCATGTACCATCTTTACGCTGGCCTTCGTTTTGAGCGTCTCTAAAAATGTAATCAGAAAAAAAGAGAAAAAATAAGCAAGGAAAAACATTTACACTCGACAAACATCAGTTACTTGGTTTTGAACTCTAGATTTTTAGGTTATGTTAAATAAATGTTATTTACTAATTCTTACTATATTTGGTCCCACCGGGGTTCCCTTCGAGGAAGGACTCGGAAGGGCTTCGATGAGCATAAACATAAACAGTCTACGATATGTTAAATAAATGTTATTTACAATTTCTATTTTAAAGAGTCTTTTTTTTGTTAAGATAGTTATTGCCTCGATTAATCAATTTCGTATACCATAAAAGCCTTGGAGTTCTCCAGCAGAATCTTTAATTTCTAACTGTAGTTCTACATCAGTTACTTGGTCACATGATTTTCAATAAACAGGGTTTAAGCAATTCGGACCTTAACTTCGAGATAATACAGCCCATAAACTCATATTTGTCATTTTCATATCCGAAAAAATTAAGTATTAGATTTTTTTCATCCCCATGGCCCTTATTGGTTCATAGTTTTTCGTTGGTAAAACTTAAAATATATTTATTGTGGTAATTCTAACAATTATGAACTACATTTACGATTTTCAAAATTAAATACTTTAAAGCAGTTTATATAGGTTGAATTCTCTGAAATGTTGATGCGGCAATGACTTTGCTACATAGTTTAAGTTTGAAAAAGAAATTGTCAACAAATTATTTCACAAAAATAAGCATAATATAAGTAAATTATAAGCAAAATATATGTGAACCATAAGCAAAACATAACAAAAAATAACAATATTATGATGTTAGCTTCACAGGTTGAGTTGAGCCACCGAGCGATGAGTAATCCATGAGATTAGGAATTGCTTCTCGGATTCGCAAACACATATGTTAAATAAAAGTTTATCTACATTGTGTAATCATACTCAATAAATTCTCTGTGATGTTACGACTTATCTTGTTAAATTGTTATAGTAGCTTGTTATTTTACTTTGCATTATTTCTAGATAAGTGCAGCAAAAGATACGTGACCAAAAAACATTTGTAATTCTAGTTTTAAAAAAACTATACCATACTTTCAAGGGAAATTTTAAGAAATACATCTCTTGAGATGCAAATTTTCAAAACTATATCTATAGTGTGTCAATTTTCAAAAATACACTTTTTCTAATTTTAATATATATCTTTGGGTTCTCTAATCCTAGATTAGGGTTTAGATTTTGGGGTTTAGGGTTTAGATTTAAGGGTTTCAATGTTTGTTTTTAGGGTTCTTGGTTTATATTTAAAGATTTAGAGTTCTTTTACTCAATGAAAAAAGTGTATTTTTGAAAATAGACACTATATAGGTGTATTTTTGAAAATTAATATTGACACTTCAAGAAATGTAGTTCTGAAATTTCTCCTGCTTACAACTACCCAAAATGATGACAAAATATTTAGGACTTTAAAAAAATCCTCGTAAACAAAAGTAGAAGAGGTTATTCCATTAACCATATCAAAGTTAAACTAAAAAATAAAGTTTTAAATATTTTGTCATCGTTTTCAATTTTCTTAATAAATGATCATCTCACATTTTCCCTCCCATTTTTTTGGGTTTCTTGCACTTCTAACCCATAATTTGAAGTCAATGGCAAAAGTAACCTGCTATTTTTTTCATTTGGGCTTTACCCAGATTTGTCCAGATAATAACGAAAATGCCATTACTTTTATCTCTTGTGGTCTACGAATGAGGTCTACGTTGTCGACCAAAAGACCAACAGAACCTCATCCTCTACACTTATTCACGAAACTGCCACTCTCATCAATGAACCCAACCACCATTTTCAACTAACTTCAAGCTTTTAATGCTTGATACTAGTAATTGTGATACTCCAAACATAATTGCACATCCCATAAACTCTAACACTATCATTTTCTCCACATTTTCATCCCAAAAACTCTCTAATTCTACTTTTCCATATTTCAAGTTCTTGATTTTCTCAAAATCGGGTTTGTGGCTTTCCTCACCACCACCGAACTGTTGTGAAGGCTTAAAGACAAAGTTTCATCCCTCGGCGGCCCTAAAGACGACGGCCAGGTTGTGGTTTACTCCATTTTCGTTTTTTCAGATCTGAGTCGATATCGTAGATCTCAGGGTTAGGTCTATAGGTCAACGCAGAGGTTAGTTTTGCAATTGACTAAGACAAATCTGTGGAGTTAGACCGCGTAGAGAGTTCTACATAATCCCTTTGAAAACAAAAAAAATATCGTAAACCTCAAGCAGAGGTCTATTTTGAAAACAGGTTAGTTTTGCAATTGACCAAGGGAGGGCTTTTTTTTTGAGGTCTACAGATGAGGTCTATTGGTCAAAGAGGTTAGTTTTGCAATTGACTGAAGTTCTGGTTTTTACCTTAGACCTCTTAATGTGGTCTATAACAACTATTTTTAAGCTGACGTCTACGTCAGAGGTCTACATAGGTTTTAGATCTCAGTCTTAGGTCTACCTTAAAAAGTTGGTCAACGCAAAATAATAGGAGGTCTACGATAGTGGTCTACAGGTGGAAAAAAATTTCAAACAATTGCAAAAGTAACCTGTCTGAGGTCTACAGATTTCGTAGACCTACCCCGTAGACCGTATAATTTTTCTAGACTACAGGTTGAGATCTATTTTGTTCGTGAGGTCTACCCAAATTTTTTGGATGAATTGCAAAACTAACCTCTTTTTTTGTAGACCGCATTTGTAGATCTCAAAAAAGTCTTCCCTTGGTCAATTGCAAAACTAACCTTTTTTAGACCTCTTTGCTAGGTTTACGCCTACGTTCTAGTTTGGAGGTCTACGATTTTTCCGTTTTTTAAAATCGATTTTCTGCGAAAACTAAAATTGTTTTTGTTAATATTTTTTCATAAATACTTCTATTAGCCTAATAACTTGTCCATATGAGAGTTTTGCATGCTAATGTTATGTAATGAAGGTTGTATTAGATTTTTGGTTAAATTTGGTAACTTGGTTAAACTCTGTAGACCGCAGCCGTGTGTGGAGGTCTAAGGTTTCCGTCTACAGGGCATCCATCAATATATATTAATGTGTTTTCCCTTTGGTTTTCATGCAGATCATGGTTTGTTTGGCATCCGTGTATGGAGCGTGGACTATCAGAGACAGAAAATGGTATTTTGAGGTTGATAAAACGAGAGGAGGTAGAATGTTCTACCTGCAGGATGATTGTAAACATGAAGAGCTGGTTGAAATGGTTGTGAACGACTACATGTTGCAAGTTAGTGGCGAGCTGCTGGAGTTGTCATATCCATTACCAGCTGCTATGATGGAGAAATTGCCAACGGATTCACCTCCTATGTATGTGACGAACGACAGACAAGTTGGGAGCTTGGTGGAGTTATGTAAGGAGCATGTGGTCCGTCTTTGCGTCTCGACCCGCGTTGGTATGGGAAGGAACTACAACGAACCAATACATGAGTGTGTCCAAGAATAAAAGTCTGAAGAGGTGGATAAAGAACACGTGGAAGAAGAATTCGGTGATGAAGGCTGGGATGATAACGACTTTGATGATGTAAACTGGAATGACAAAGCATGAGATGTAAATTCAGAAGATGAATCTTGCGACTGACGGCTGTGATGGCAAGATTCGCATTTAAAGTCTACAAGTCCACTACGGAGTTGTTTGTGGCAAAATGTGTTGTCAATGGATGTGCATGGAAGTTGAGAGCAGTTGTGAAGAATGAACCGGATTGCTTCTGGGTTACCAAGTACGTAAAGGGTCACACTTGTTCAATTATGGACCGTGTAGCTCACCGTAGACGAGCTACTCCAAGATATATTGGACAATTGTTTGTGGAGCGGACTGGACTCATAGATGGAATTGTCCCTCGACAAATTGCAGATTCGATGAGGATCATGTTTGGCTTGAATCTTACCTATACAACGTCATACCGGGCTCTCAAATTCGCTCAAGTATTTGTCAGGGGAACTCCAAAGTATACAACTGCTCCAAATGCAAGCAACCAGAACATACTCGCCCGTACTGTGTAAGCTTTGTGCGTCTCGCAGTTCCATTAGTTTTCATTACAACAATGCTATAATTGTTTGCTCTTCATTAGGTGTCCAAGCCTGCTCAGAAATAAGGTCGGAGGTCTACAAGGAGTTCCCGGATGACTACGAAGCATTCACGCGCAGTCTACTATTTATTTCGTGGAGGTCTATGAGACGTCTACAACTATATCCATTAAATTTTATTTTCATATCATCAGTTACAATGAGTGAATGACGTCTACCTTTTTTCTACATGAAGTTAAGTAATACTAAAGACAGATTTCATTAATAACTGCGTTTCAGTTTGTGTTGCATCCAAAATAGTTATACAAAATCAGTGTTGTGAAGAGGGGCCAAAAAAAAGATAAACCCTCCTCCCCGGCTAAACGTTCCGGTGAGTTTACAGAAATCATTCCGTTAAAACACACTTTGTTTCCTTTATGACAATGTTTTTACATAATTTAGAAGCATTTTGACATTAAAAAACTATGGCCATGAACGCTTCTCGACATTTCCAAGAACGTGATTCCAACATCTTGTCTCGACTCTGATCCAACATTTTTTCTTGAGGTATGTTCTGCGTGAGGGATATTCTTCACCTGAAAACCAAAATAGTAAATCTTGTGAAACACTATACTAGAGTAATCAATCTTTTGCTAAGTCTGTTACTCATGAACTCACCGCCATACAAAAGATTCTCCAAACTTCCATTACTCATGAACATTCATTTGAAAATCAAAAATCAAGGGTATCAAAATCAAGGGTATGAACATTCATATTCATAACACAGACGTTCAGAGTTTCACTTCCATATATATGAGTATAAAAAATCAAAAATACGATTTAAATACAACAACAAATCTATGATAAGTAACTGAATGTTTGTGTACCATGTGTAAGAAGAAACTATAAGAGTTCTGCAAACGCTCAAGGATTAGTTACCTTTATTAACTAGTTTATTGAGCTTCATTGTCTTCTTTACGCTAAATTTTCTTTGGGATTTCTTCGAGTCTTCTGTTGCAGCTGAGACCAAAAAGAAGAGATCAGCTTCTATTAATGCAAACCATAGTACAAGTCACAAGAGCAAAATGAATCTGAACAGGCCATTGTAATGAATAATACGCAAAACAATATACAAAAGAGGGCATATCAATTAGACAAGAGAAGACACAGAACAAAAAGAAAACATTCTATAAATATGCTAACAGGGAAAGGCACAATGTTTTCACAAGAGTTATGAGCAGAAAACTAAGCAAGAAGAACAATTCCAAGAAGATATTATAAAGTTACAGCTCAAACTGATTATATTTCTGAGTACTAAAAGTTTATTTCTAGCTGATATTAGATTTATAATCACAGAATTAGGTAAGTCGAAGTATCAATTAGCAGAGCAGAAGCTGAGGATGAAAATTTACCTTCAGCAGAAGCCATCTCGACATCCTCCATGGTAACAAGACCCTTCTCCACCATCTCTTTCTGCTCCTGTTTTCAATCAACAAACATTTTTATTAGGACTTATAGCTATGTTTCTGCTCTTGTTCTATCAGCTTTCGCCTCTCTTACACTATATTTATAAGAAGAAAAAAAGAAACAACTTTGAGATTTCAATATCAGTGTGAGCAAAATTATTAAATCTAAAAAGAAAATACGTGTGTGAAAGATGTAATTCAACCAGAAAACAAAAGTAATAGCAAAGCAAAAGAGCAGAGATGATGAAAGAGAGAAATTTAGATAACTCACAAAGTTATAAGTGATAAACAAGCGGTCACGCCTCTTACAATTTCAGGCTCTTTTTCGGTGATGAATACAAATCAGCCTCATGCATCTGCGGATGTACTTCTCCCCTAGGTCATTGAAACGCATCAACGAACGGATTCAAAGCCTGCTTGGAAAATAATCTAACATGTTATTGTTCAAATCTAAACTCAGATCTGTTACAGAGAGAAGAACATGGTTTACCGGTGACAATGGTGATGGAAACTGACTCGACGCGAAGACGGCACTGGATGCGGCAACGACGGAGGTGGATGCGGCGGAAACTGCACGGAGATGGAGGAAGAAGAAGAAAATAAGAAAGTGGCGACATTTCACAGCGAGAGAGCGCGCCGTTTGATGAGAGAACGAGAACGAGATGGTGACGGCGAGAACGAGAAGGCAAAGGCGAGAGGGAAGCGAGATAGTGAGTTTGAGGTTCGAGAGGGAAGCGAGAAAGGAGAGAGAGAGAGCGCCGTCTGAAGAAAGAGGCTTTTTTCTTTTTCTAACAAAACCTAGGGTTTTTTTTCTTTTATAGGAGAAGATAAATTTCCCGGTTTAATTAGAAAATTTCGGATAACCGAACTTTCTTTTTCGGTTTAGCTAAAAGATTTAGCTTAAACCATAATTTGCTAAGGTCTACGAATGTAATCTACAAACGTGGTTTACGAGTGTGGTTTACAAATGCGATCTACAACTGCGGTCTAACTAAATTAGGGAATTTGGTTCCCGCTCATTCGGATTTCAAATTTTGGAATTCCCGCAAATTTAATTACTAAACCATTCCGGTTTATTTCAATTTCATCTTCTTGTGCGGTCTACAGATGAGGTCTACAAAACCCTAAACTACAAATTTTCTGAAAAAACATGAACCGAATATCAATTTTGTTTGTCATTTACAATATTTATGGTTAAGATAACAAAAATATTAAATATACGTAAAAAAAACCAACCAAAAACAAAAATTCAAATTGAAACTATCTAAACCCTAAGAATTGGACAACTAAACCCTAAACTATCTATCCAAACTCTTATCAATTTGAAACATTTACTCATGACATTTATAGATTGATTCATTTTTCGTATGATTTATTTTTAATAATGTCAAATGTATAAGAATTAATTATGCATACAAGTTTTTAATCAAATTATTTTTTATCAATTTTATAATTTATTTTTAAGATTTCATTTTCCTGTAGACCTCGTTGCTAGACCTCTCACGGTTTTACAAGTTTCTAACCTAATTTGTTTTTGTCAACCTAAATTCACTTATTAACATGTATGTTTATTTTATATGGACTCTAATTGTCTTTGTCTTGTTTATGAATACAAATTTTTCATCTAAATATTTTCTATTTATTTTATAAATTAAAAGTTTCATTTAATTAAACCGTAGACCTCATCCGTAGACCTCTTACGTTTTTACAGCTTTCCAAACTAATTTGCCTATGTTAGTTTAATTTGACTCATTTGTATGCAATTATAATTTTCCAAGATGCAAATTACTATTTATGATTTATGTATGCAAATGGTTTCATCAAAATGTTTTTTTTGTTTTTCCCAATTAAAATATAAAATTAAAATACAAGGTAGACCGACTATAAAAGTCTATATGTAGACAGCAAGCGTAGACCTACGCTCCGGGTTAATTTGGTAATCGCGGCAAATTTTTTTTGTTTGTTCATGAGGGTGACCTTTGTAATTTCGCTACCCAAACAGGTTAGTTTTGCAATACTTTCAAGTTTCGGGTTATGGTTATAGAAAAAAACAAATTTCGGGTTATATGTGGAAATTCTCCCCATTTTTTCCGGATCTCATATGTATTATCCTGTGTCACAAGCTTCCGTGATTTGTATTTCTTTAACTATACATAAATGCCTCATTAAATGTTTCCTGACCGTTGACCACGTAGCTTAAACTTGTCTCGTAAAGGTAAATAAGAGAGAGAGCACATGAGAAAGCTTTTCTAAAAAAAGAAAAGAAACCAAACATAGAAACAGAGTAATTCAAGTAAAACATAGTAGCTATATCTATCTATCTCTTGACTGTGAGTCTGTGACTGGCTATGGAAGCAACAAGAATGGGGTTTGGACTCAGAAATATATCTACACTTCACCAAGTTCCTCTATGCCTTACGACCAGCCTCTCCTTCTCTCCGCGCCCTTCTCTTTCTCTGATGAAACCCCTGAAACGCGACTTGTCCTGTGTTAAGGCTACTACTAGCGATGATCTTGAGAGTAATCGTCCTTCGACGCACTTTGCTCCCTCTCTCTGGGGAGATCACTTCCTCTCTGTTCCCCTGGATCGAGCTGTAAGTTCATAAGACCGATCCTATACACGTGTCTTGCTACACAAAACATGATTATTGACTAGCCATTTTGTATCTCAGGATTTTGATGAGCTAGAAAGACAGATTGGAGCCATGAAGCCGCTGGTGAGAGAAATGCTCATGTCTTTTCACAGCAGCGAAAAGGAAAAGATTCGTTTTATCCATTTGCTTATCAGCCTCGGGGTCTCTTATCATTTTGATAAGGAGATCCAAGAGATCCTTGACCAGAGTTTCACAAAGCTGCATGACATAATTGTCGGGGAGAATGATTTGGAAACCATCTCCATTATGTTTGAGGTCTTTAGACTATACGGTCATAAGATGTCTTGTGGTAAGAATATCAGTTTCCTTGATGTACACGTATCCAGCATATTCATAACATGACAAATGTATTTAGTTACTTATATTAAAAGATATAACTTGGCTCTACGGTTCAACTGTAGATGCCTTTGATAGATTCAGAGGTGAAGATGGGAGGTTCAAGGAGAGTCTAGTCAGAGATGTCAGAGGAATGTTACAGTTGTTTGAAGTAGCCCATCTCGGGACACCCTCTGAAGATATTATGGACGAAGCCCTAAGTTTTACGCGCAGTCACTTGGAGTCTTTGGCAGGTGGTAATGCATCTAATGTTTCTCCTCATCTCCTCAAGCATATACAGAACACATTGTACCTACCTCGATACGGTAACATGGAATTACTAGTGGCAAGAGAATATATATCTTACTACGAACAAGAAGAAGGTCATGAAGAAATCTTGCTCAAGTTTGCAAAGCTTAACTTCAACTTTTGCCAGCTTCATTACATCCAAGATCTCAAAACTCTCACCAAGTGACATACTCATCTTCACTCTTGTTGAAAGCATCCGTCTCTTTTGACAAAATTGTTCCATTTTTTTTTTTTTCTGTGTGTGGTTGCAGATGGTGGAAGGACTTGGGCCTTGTATCTAAGCTACCTTACGTTAGGGATAGAATTGTGGAGTCACATCTCGTGTCTATGGGGCCCTACTTTGAGCCTCACTATTCTCTTGGGAGAGTCTTAGTGGCTAAAGTTAATATGATCGTGGTTGTAGTAGATGACACATATGATGCATATGCTACTCTTCCTGAAGTTACAGTTCTTACTGAATGTTTGCTGAGGTACTATCTATATATATATATATATATATATATATATATATATAATTATATATGGCTCTTTCTTTCTCTTGTATAATTATTCAACCATGGGAGAAAAATCTTGGTATCATGACTAGGTGGAGTATTAGTGCCAGTGATAAACTACCAGAATATTTGCGAATCGTCCTTGGAGGTTTGTTTGATGTCATGGGAGATATTGAACGGGAAATGAAACTGAAAGGAAGATCCTACGGCGTGAAACAAGTGGTAGAAAGGGTAAGATCCACCACAAGAAGATATCAGCTCAACACATGGGATTTTGAAACCATATATTATCTTTAGTAGACTCTATTTTAATGTTCTGAGTCCAAAATTCAAAACGCAGATCAAGATCGTTGTGAAGGCGTACCTAAAGATAGCAAAGTGGGCACGGTCGGGTCACGTACCAACCTTTGATGAGTACATGGAAGTTGGGGTGGTGACAGCCGCGATGGGAGATTATGCAGCTTACAGCTTTCTAGGTATGGAAGATATCAATGAGAAGGAAGCATATGGCTGGCTCAATTCAAAACCCCTACTCCTCAAACATCTTAGTATAATGTTCCGTCTAGCAAATGACGTAGGAACCTATGAGGTAAACCTCAAAATAAAAGATCTCTTTGGTTCTTGTGATTTTTTTTTCTCTCTTGCTTTTGTCTGTCCTCATGAATAAATGATATTTGCAGACCGAGATTAGCAGAGGGGAGGTGGCTAATGGGCTCAACTGCTACATGGAACAACATGGAGTCACCAAGGAAGAAGCAACCCAAGAGTTACGTAAAATGTATAGAGAGAACTACAAAGTGGTTATGGAGGAGTTTATGAACGAGCATGCCAATGTTCCGCGCCAAGTTCTTCTTCGATGCCTCAACATTGCGCGTGTCTTCGACGTCTTCTATAGAGAGGGTGATGGATACGGTGATCCCAAAGGCAAAACCGAACGCTTTATGACCTCTTTGTACGTCAACCCAATACCCCTTTCGTAACGAGGGCGTACATATTAGAGGAGAAGCCCATATCAAGCCCAATGCGTTTATAACCCATGTAACTAGGGTTTTTAGCAATGATAGTTTCATATAAATATGTATTATGGTTCTCATTTATGTAACTTTGGCTGCCATTGAAGCAGCCTCCTTTTCTCAATAATAGATCAATCGTTATCTTACTCTTCTTGGTGACAACTTAAATATCTTTCCTTTCCTTTAGTTTATGCACAATAAAGCTCCTTTGAGCTATTTCTATTTCATCCAAAGAGAAACAGAGTGTGAACATTATGGTTGGCTAAAGGATAGGATGCAAAGAGTGTGAGTAGGATTGTTAGTAGATGTGGAAAGACAGCCTCTTCCTCTTCGTGAGACAGATATGGAGAATGAAACGGGTAATGGAAACCTAGTTTCTAAGTGAGACAAATAGGCCTCAAATACATTTGAGCGAGGTCGACTAAGCTCTCCAAGTCAAAGAACCTCTGAGTGAAGCCATGCGATACTCTCCATGTATAGGCCAGAATATATCTCACACTAAGGTTTGTTTTCATTGGTGAGAAGAGCCATCCACCTACATCTCAACCATCTCGCTCCAACCATCACGCTCCTATGCTCATGCCCAAGTCATCACAATGTGCATTCAAACTCGGCAGCTTCGTCTTCACCCGCTGCCAAGTTTGCGGGGGAGTGTTAAGAGACAAAAGCCCAATCCATTAAGACAAGACCAAAGCCCATGTAACTAGGGTTTCCAAGAGAGTAGATTACTATATATATGCTTCTTATGTCATTGTGTAATGTAACTTTGAGAGTTGTTCATAGCAACTCTCCTCCTCTTTATCTCTTATGATATAAACGAAATCATTAGACTCTCGCAGACAACTTAACGTCTCTTCCTCTTTTACATTTTCTGCATAATAAAGCTCTTATGAGCTATTTCTATTTCATCATAATAAAGCTCATTTGAGCATGTTTCTCAATTACTTGATAGAGTTTGAGAAACAAAGATAAACTTGCTCAAGGGAGCTTTATTGAATGAAATAGAAATAACTCAAAGGAGCTTTATTGTGCATAAACTAAAGGAAAGGAAAGATATTTAAGTTGTCACCAAGAAGAGTAAGATAACGATTGATTTATTATTGAGAAAAGGAGGCTGCTTCAATGGCAGCCAAAGTTACATAAATGAGAACCATAACACATATTTATATGAAACTATCATTGCTAGAAACCCTAGTTACATGGGTTATAAACGCATTGGGCTTGATATGGGCTTCTCCTCTAATACTCCCCCGCAAACTTGGCGTCGGGTGAAGCAAGATGACAAGTTTGAAAGTGCAGACCTTTGGCTTTAGTGAAGCTTGAGTAGTTGAGGAAGAATAGCTTGAAGGTGTAGGTAGATTGCTCATTCAACAAAGACAACCAGCATGAAATTGTTTGGTCTTGACTTGGAGAGCTTGCATGACTCACTCAGAGGTTCTTTTGACTTGGAGAGTTTAGCATAGTCTTCTCTCTTGTGACCTTCTTTCTCACAAAGAGTTGGGTTTGACTGACCCTAACTCACTAATTCGTCCATAGACAAAGGAGAAATTTCCCCACAAACAACTGAAATCCTTCTCACTATCAACTTCCTATCCCATTAGCCACCATCAAATCTGCTTTTTCACAATCTCGTTTCACTGTGGCATTTTATCGAGCACCTTGTGTGCACTCAGTAAAACAGAAACTTGCATCCTTAAACTCATCGTGAGCAAACCCAATATCAGCCTATCTCAATCCAGCTTCTCAATTCCAGTAGCTAACCATTCTAACTTCTTAAATCCAGACCTATGAATCTAACCATCCAACAAACTCACACAACTAAAAGCCTTTTCTTATCCTTGTTCTGTCTTGGATGAGGGAGCAAACACATACCGTGGATGAAAAGATGAAAAAGCTTGCATCTTAGGCCATATCGTGGCTGTTAGGCTTAACACAATATTGACGCAGAAGACATAACCCCCATCTTCTTCTTCCCTGAGCGAAATTGCTGCTACACTTGGTTCTCTAGTTTTGACGTGTAGGAAATGATGAAGCTAAGATGGCTTGACTGGTCGTTGTATGCGGAAGAAAAAAAACGGATCACCAAATTCGCCTGTGAGAGCTTCTTTGGCTCTGATACCATAATAGTAATTGAGAAACATGCTCAAATGAGCTTTATTATGATGAAATAAAAATAGCTCATAAGAGCTTTATTATGCAAAAAATGTAAAAGAGGAAGAGACGTTAAGTTGTCTGCAAGAGTCTAATGATTTCGTTTATATCATAAGAGATAAAGAGGAGGAGAGTTGCTATGAACAACTCTCAAAGTTACATTACACAATGACATAAGAAGCATATATATAATAATCTACTCTCTTGGAAACCCTAGTTACATGGGCTTTGGTCTTGTCTTAATGGATTGGGCTTTTGTCTCTTAACAGTACACACACCAATTCTAAGGAAATTGATGCTTTGGTTTCCCATCTAAGTTGTTGGGTTAATTACTTTGATCAAATACTTTCATTTCATGCATGATTTGTTGCGAATGGCTATGCAACACAATAATGCTACTTGATCACAACTGACAATTTCTCTTATTTTATATTTACATTATGAGGAAAAGATAGTGGACATCTAAGAACTGAGCTTATATTATAAAAAGTTTATTTATAGAATCACAAAAATATTAAGAACTAAAATTCAACCAAGCACTTTTTCATGAAAAATAGAAAATGGAGTACTTTGATACAAAGCACATAACATTAGAGCACATTTAAAGCCACTTGCCCACCTGGGTCTTCGACTGATGCAAGCGAATCAGGTTTAGTCATATCTTGAGGGAGAACGTGAATCATACGATCTGTGTGAGCCATGAGACCTCTGCGAACCGGAAACACTTAATCTTGGAATGTGAAACTGAGGAAGATGATAATGAGGCTGTTGTTCCATTGGCTGTCTAAGATACCTGCAGTTCGAGATCGTGACATGGAACTTTTGAGAGAGGAAGCTTTGCTCTGGAAGACGCTGCAGATTCTGACAGTCATTGATTCTCAAGCTTCTAAGAGCATTAAGACCATGCAAATGCTCGTTTGAGAGCTGAAGACACTGCAGAGATATGCAGTTATCGATATCAAGCTTGTCGAGTATGGCAAAATGGCCTAAAGGAAATGTCACAAGAGAGTCACAACTGCTCTTTATGCTTAGCGTTTGAAGATTCCCGTAGCTGTACTCGTGGTGGTCTGGCTGGAAATCTAAGAGCCCGCATTTATAGATGTGAAGAGAGATCAGAGAAGGAAGAGATGTCGGTAGATTCCCGGTAAGCTCTGGACATCTCTGTATGGAAAGGTGCTTCAGAGAAGGGAACAAGTCTCCTCTTGTGACCCTTACGTCTAACCAGTCTTCCCAGTCCGGCAGATTATCAAATCGCAGCGTTTCAAGCGATCGAAAAGGCTGTTGTTCTCGATCACGCAATGATAAATTGCTGAAGTAGAAACCGGAACCTATGCTCCTAAGCCCGGCCATTCCCGATATGCAAAGCTCTCTCAGACCTGGTAGTTGGCCAAGACATGGCAAGGAGGAACAGTTTTGACATTCGTTGAGTCGTATGCACACGATTCTAGAGAATAAAGGATCACTCAACCATTATGGAAACCTTCTTCTCGATCTTGATTTTCTCGATATGACGATGAGGGCGTAACTTCTAAAAGACTTCAGCTTCATTCTGCGTCCTGTGAGGATTTGTGTTGCTCTCTGAGCTACTGGATCCAGTTCTCCACACAAAATCAATCTCCTTTAGATGTTTATTGTTGTCTAAATTTTCTCCTGCAGCATCAGCAACATGCACAACTCGTTGTAACTCAACTATTCTTAGCTTTCCATGAAGTTCATGAAGCTCTCCAAGTTCACAAATCCTTGCGCGATCAGTAGCACGCACGAAAAAAGTTGTAAGAGTCTGGAGGCTCTTCAATCTTCCAAATTTCCGAGGCATTTGTCTTAGCTTTGTCCCAATAAGATCAAGATAACGCAGATTGATGAGGTTGCAAATGTCTGTAGGTAGCTCCTTGAGACTGGAACAGTAAGCCAAGAGAAGTGTCTGGAGATTATACATGTAACAAAGGGATTTCGGAAGTTTTCTCGAGTTCAGTGCGAGAGAGATCCAAGAACCGAGCATTGCTTAAGTTCCTGAAAAAATCTGGAGGCAGCCTTGCGATCTTGTAATGAGACAAAGACAAAACACGCAAGCGGGTAAGCGTTGGAAGTAACTTCTCGCTGACCATTGCATCTAAGCAGCACGACCGTGAAGAGTTTGTGAGGCTGAGCGGTAGAAAAGTTCTGAGAAACTTGACTTGGCGAAGAGCTTCAAACTCCATAGGCTCGCCATAATTGTCTCGCAGGTAGGATAAATATCTGGTCCTTTCTGAAACCTGAAGTTTGCAGCTATCTTCAAACTTAGGAACTAAACTCTCCTGAAGCAAACTGAGAAAGCTCGTTGATAAAATCATGCATTATGTATCTCGTCTTGGTCTTTTGGAAAAGTGACCTTAATTCTAGCTCAGAGAAGTACTCATCCCCGATCTCTTCAAGATTCTTACTGGCACTGCTTCTCGTCTGCTGCAAGAAACCTTCTGCCATCCACAGTAGAACTACTTGTTCCTTCTCAAATGCATGACCTTTGGGAAATATCGAGCAATACGCAAAACATCGCTTCAAGTGAGCTGGAAGATAGTAATAGCTTATCCGTAAAACTGGAAGTAAGTTGCTCTTGTCAACTGGAAGATCCCAAATCCTGCTGCTTAAAACTCTCTCCCATTCTCCAACTTTACCTTCAAACCGTAACACACCACCGAGTGTTTTCACAGACAAATCCTGGCACTTGTGCACTATCCTTTCCGCAAGATCTCCAATTTCTTGATCTAGGCATGGATCTTGATTAGGAAATACAGTTCTTATGAACAATGACCAGCAATCTCCATCAGATAACGGTTGAAGGTTGTGTACATGGACAGAACACACAACGGGCACAACCCGTTGGCTTCGTGTTGTCACAAGAATCTGGCTCCCTCCAGCAGCAGATATGAAGGGTTGCCGTAGAAGATCCCAATCCCCAAAACTTTCATTCCACAGATCATTTAGAACAAGCCGAAACGGTAAGCATGTTAACCTCTCCTTCAGTTTGACTTGAAGTACATCAAGGTCGGTGAATTCACAAGGCCGGGAAGTAACATTCATAAACCTTTTTGGTGATCTTAAAAACATCAAACTCCTCTGAGACATGAGCCCACACTCTAGTTCCAAAATGACTCTGAACACTCTGATCATTGTATAGAATCTGTGAAAGAGTGGTTTTGCCAACCCCTCCAATTCCAACAATAGCAACAACGGTTAACCCATTATCATCTCCGTTCCCAGGAATCAATAATCTCATGATCTCATCTTTATCATCATCTCTACCAAACACTTCAGACTCATCCACAAGAGAAGTTGTTGGCAACCTTTTTTTGGGTATCATTGCAGCTCTTTCAAACCCAATATGTTTCTTTGTGAGGCTAAACGCTCTAGCCTGATCCTTCTCAAGCCTGGTCTCCAAATGTTCACTGTTCCCGTCAAGAAAATCTCCCAGGAACATTCTGCCACGAAGCTGTCTCAGCCTGTTGGAGGAGGAAGATTCAGCTCCTATGTTGAGGCGCAGGGCTTTTGTAGCGATGTCATCAAGAACATCTTCAGCATGGTAAACAACATCTCTCAGCTCGTTGACCCATTTTTCCACCACAGGATTTGTGATCTGCTTCTCCTCTGCGTCAATCAGCACCGCACTTATTGTCAACAACATTGAGCCTCTCTAGTACATTCTCGTTCAGTTCTCGCCGCTTGAAGAAGCTCTTGAAAGGTCCAGACATCAGCGTCTGGAAGAAAGCTGAGAGAACCATTTCTCCTACAAACATCTCTTCTGTCTTTGCATACACAAAGCCCTCTGGACAAACACGACAAACAATAGACAGAATCAAGAAGTTGGAGAGTTATTTCTCAGGATGAGTAACTTCACAGCCAGCTCTTTATTTCTTTAGTGATACTTCCTTGAATAACTTGATGTCAATACACCAGACAAAAGACTCAAAATCAGAGATTGCAAATACTAAGAAATTACAAAGTTAGGTAGAATGAACAAAAGAAAACAGAGAAACTAATCTTAATTAAACTTTATTTTCCCACAATGTTATTAAAGTTGATTTATTAAAATACGGCATGAATCATACCAACTGAAACTACCAGATCTATTGGCTTAAACACAATCGACACTAGACATGTAGATTTAAAGGACTAAGCTTGTAAATTGAGATTAACATTGAATCAAAATAAACTTGTGAGACATAATTTTAATTGTTTTATATATGTGTGTTATTTTAGGTTGGAATTCAGAATTGAGGCGACTTGAATGCCATTTGTCAAATCCTTTAGGGAAAATTTAGAAAAAGAGATGGTGTAATAGACAAGAAAACTTATGTCATGTGGTTGAACCGAGACATTGCCAAGACCTTTTCATCCCCTAAAGCTTCTTAGGAACATAGAACATTGATATTATGCAGCCGAACCCTTTTTGGCTTCCTCGTCTCATCTAAATGCTGCACATAAGAGAAAAAGGAAGAAGAAGAAGCTTGAAATTTCTGCTTCAGCATATTTCTGGAAATAGGGGAGAGGAAGAAGACGACACAAGAGATAGATAGAACTTCATACTTGAGGTCAGATTCAACTTATTTATTCCTTAATTTTTCTTCTTTTTGTTGAATCTGACTCGTTGAATACTCCATGACCACTGCAAATAAATTCTAATAATAGTTTAGAAAATAGAAATGTAACATAACGGTTTTAGTCAAAATGTCTACAAACGTATGAATCTCGTGATCATGAAAGAAAAAAATCTCCAGAATCTTAACCTTATTATCACTTCCTGCAGGGCCATCTGACAAATTGCATAAAAAACAGCAAGTCAACACATTGCAATACCTTGGCTCCAACAAGTTACGAGGGAAAACATGGCGTATATACCAAATTGTGTGAACGTAATGGTTGAGCGGATCAATACTTCTAAGGAATTGGTCGAACTATGTAAAGGAAAGTCTTCCAGTGCATTGCTAAAGAGATTGAAGGTCGCATTGGTGACTGCGAATCCAGTGCTTGCGGATGCTGAGCAGAGAGCTGAACATGTTCGAGAAGTAAGACATTGGCTTCAGGGAATCAAAGATGCTTTCTTCCAGGCAGAGGATGTTCTTGATGAGTTACTAACAGAAGCTTTGAGAAGAAGAGTAGTAGCTGAAGCTGGAAGGTTAGGAGGACTATTCCAGAATCTCATGGCTGGTCGGGAAGCCATCCAGAAAAAGATTGAACCAAAGATGGAAAAAGTAGTTAGACTACTTGAAAATCATGTGAAGCACATAGAAATTATTGGATTGAAAGAATATAGCGAGACTCGAGAACCACAATGGAGGCAAGCGTCAAGGTCAAGACCTGATGATCTTCCACAAGGCGGTGTGGTCGGGCGAGCAGAAGATAAGCTAGCATTAGTCAATATGCTGCTTTCTGATGATGAAACAAGCACTGGGAAACCAGCTGTGATCTCCATAGTGGGCATGCCAGGAATTGGAAAGACTACCTTGACAGAGATAGTTTTTAATGACAACAGTGTGACCGAACATTTTAATGTTAAAATGTGGATCTCTGTTGGGCTAAACTTTAATGTCTTTACGGTACAAAAGCCGTTCTGCAGGATATCACTTCAAGCGCAGTTAATACTGAGGATCTACCTTCACTTCAAGTTCAGCTGAAGAAAACACTATCATGCAAGAGATTTTTAGTAGTTCTGGATGATTTTTGGTCTGAAAATATATCAGAATGGGAAAGTTTTCAAGTCTCCTTTACTGAAGTGGAGCAAGGCAGCAAGATTGTTCTAACCACAAGAAGTGAAATTGTCTCCACAGTCATACAAGCTGAAAAAAAACTACCAAATGAAGCTGATGACTAATGAAGAATGCTGGGAGCTGATCTCTAGATCTGCTTTTAAATCTATATCAGTCGGTTCTATCAATCAAGAATTAGAAGGAATTGGCAAAAGAATTGCAGAGCAGTGTAAGGGCTTGCCGTTAGCTGCAAGAGCCATCGCATCTCATCTCCGGTCAAAGCCAAGTCCTGATGACTGGTATGATTTATCAAATAATTTCTCAACATACACCAACAACATCCTTCCAGTTCTTAAACTGAGCTATGACTTTCTCCCTCCTCAACTTAAGCGATGCTTTGCCCTCTGCTCAATATTCCCCAAAGGGTATGTGTTTGATAGGGAAGAATTGGTGCTTCTATGGATGGCGATAGACCTCTTATACCAACCAAGGAGCAACAGAAAACTGAAAGATATTGGTTACGATTACTTTGATGATTTAGTTGCTCGTTCTTTTTTCCAGAGATCGAACATCACCATGACAAGCTTTGTGATGCATGATCTCATGATGATTGGCTAAAGTTGTTTTAGGATATTTTTGCTTCAGACTTGAAGATGACAATATTCCGGAGATACCAAGCATGGCTCGACATTTTTCATTTTCTAGAAGCCAATGTGACGCTTCAGTAGCTCTCAGGTCCATCAGTGGAGCTGAGTTTCTGAGAACCATTCTTCCATTCAACTTGCCAACGGGTCTGGAATCTCTCCAACTAACAGAGAAAGTTTTGAATCCTTTGCTTCAGGCATTGAGCCGCCTAAGAATTCTTAGCTTGTCTCATTATCAGATAACCCACTTGCCTAAATCATTGAAGGGTTTGAAGCAGTTACGGTACCTAGATCTGTCAAGCACCAGAATAAAAGAGCTCCCAGAGTTTGTGTGTACCCTCTGTAATTTGCAGACTTTGTTATTGTCAAATTGATGTGACCTCACAAGCCTACCAACAAGCATGGCTGAATTCATCAACTTGCGCCTACTCGACCTCGTTGGCACTCCCTTAGTAGAGATGCCACCAGGAATAAGAAAGCTGAGAAGCTTGCAGAAGTTATTTAATTTTGTTATAGGAAGACTAGGCGGTGCCGATCTACATGAACTCAAAGAACTTTCTCAGCTCCGAGGAACACTTCGCATTTCTGAGCTACAAAATGTGGCCTTCGCTTCAGAAGCAAAAGATGCTAGTTTACAAAGGAAACCATTCCTTAATGGATTATTCTTGAAGTGGACAGTGAAAGCCTCTAGCTTCGTCCCTGGTAATTCTAATGCATTGACATGTGACCAGAAAGAGGTCCTGAAGATGCTGGAACCTCATCCACACTTGAAAACGTTCTCCATCAAGTCTTATCAAGGTGCAGGGTTTCCAAAGTGGTTGGGTGATTCTTCATTTATCTGTATTGCGTCCATCACTCTCAGTAGCTGCAACCTCTGCATATCACTGCCTCCAGTGGGGCAGTTGCCTTCACTCAAGCACCTCAGCATTGAGAAGTTTAACATTCTGCAAAAAGTTGGTGTAGACTTCTTCTTTGGTGAGAACAACTCTAGCTTTGCACCGTTTCAATCCCTGGAAACTCTGAAGTTCTATGGCATGCTGAGATGGGAAGAATGGATTTGCCCGGAACTAGAAGATGGAATCTTTCCTTGCCTCCAAAAACTCATAATACAAAGATGCCCCAGCTTGACGAAAAAGTTCCCACAAGGACTCCCTTCTTCCACTGAGGTCACCATCTCTGATTGCCCCCTAAGAGAAGTTGCTGGAGAAGAAAATTCCTCCAGAGTGAATCTGACAAATACACTAGAAAGTGGAGTCAGCTCTCCCTCTATGAGCAGAAATAAACTGTCTTCCCCTAAATTGGATCCAAGTACAAGTGCTACACCAGGCTTAGTTTCAAGTAATTGATATCTTGCGTATTTGACGCATTTTAACCTTTGTTTTCACGAGTTTTATCGAGTCTATCTAGTCTTTATCGAGTCTTTTCAGGTCTAAAGACGTACAGGGAGAGATTTGGTCACATGGACCAACAGGAGGAGAAATCACGCAAAAAGGAGCCCAAAGGAGCTCGATCGAGTCACCTCAAGGTCGATCGACTCAGTCAGAGGTCGATCGATTCATCACCACGCAACAAGGTCGATCGATCCCATTGTCTCACGTGTAGCTCGATCAATCCCATTGTCCCACATGTAGATTGATCGAATCCTCATGCAAGCCATGCATCGATCTATCTCAGCCGTTCGATCCATCCAGCTCAGATGACGCCACAGCCGTTCGATCGAACCGTAGCAAACCGGATTGAACCAAGCTCGCCTCCTACTTTCAGCCATTGTTTAGGCTACGCCGTTTTTCAGAGTTTTTCACTGTTTCTGAGGAAGAAGATATCGAACCTCTGTTTTCACAGTTTGGAGAAGATTTCTGAACCCTTTGTTTGCAATTTTCGTATTTGATTCAATGACTTTCATTTCAGTTATTGTTATCTGTTTCGCTATGTCTGAGTAGTCTTCCTGCTAGATCTAGGTTTTTCAAAGGGATTCATGTGTTAACTAAATTGAATACAGATAGGGCTATCATACTGTCTTCGCCATTGTTGCATTCATTGCTTAGATCGATTGATCACTCGATCTCTGATCTCAGATTTACCTGTTCATCAAAAGTGCAATAGGTTGTTAGAACGAACTGTGGTGAGCGAATCGTCCTTAGCCTGCGAAAGTTGATGCTAAGGCGATTTGTGAACATATCGAACCTGTGCGTATTGCTTGCTTTCAATTGCTAGATTCAAACGACAGTTTAGACATCTAGGTTGTTAGGCAGAGTTGTTAATATCGCGACAGTGAATTGACATACTGTTTTGTTTGAGTTCGAGACCTGTTTTTTGTTTGTGCCCTGAATAGTTGTTTGGTTGTTAACCGTGAATCTCTGCGAATTGCCTTGGTCTAGTGCCCATTTTATTTGAATTACATCAACGTTTACATCTGTCACTTGTTATCAAATCAATCTTTCTTGTCTTAGATCTGTTTTGATTGAATCTCCTAGATTCATAGTGTAACGCTGGTCCTCTGGATTTCGAATCCTTTATATTACAATCTTCATCACTGTTTATTTGCAGTAGAGAAAATGATCTATTTATAGATTATCAGTAATCTAAGCAATGATGACAATGAAGGAACTTCGACATCGAGCCTGTCATCTTTACCAAAGGACCAATATGAAACTCAGTTTGGAAGCTCACATCAGAATATCGAAGAACCTGCTGTGATATCAGCAAGATACTCAGGCTACATCTCGGATATACCTAGCAATATGTCACGGTCATCTCTTCTTCATGGAAGTAGTACCTAACAATCTCTAAAGCATTCTGTTCAGAGTCCACCGTCGATTGAAGCAGAAAAAGAAAGACCTTCACAACTTGATGATGAAACAGACATGGAATGTTTGAAAGTTAGAGATATCTCTCACCTCATGGAGCTTCCCCAGAATCTGCAGTCACTCCACATTGACAGCTGCGACGGACTAACTTCTTTGCCGGAGAGCCTATCGGAAAGCTACCTCAGTCTCCAAGAACTCATCATCGTTGCTTGTCACTCTCTGGAATCTCTCCCTCGGAGCCACCCTCCAACCACATTGAGAACCCTATACATAAGAGACTGCGAGAAACTAAATTATTTCGCAGAGAGTTTGCAGCCAACGAGAAGTTACTCGCAGCTCGAGCACCTCTTCATCGGAAGTAGCTGCAGCAATCTCCTCAATTTCCCTCTATCCTTGTTTCTGAAGCTCAAAAGCCTCTCAATTAGGGATTGTGAAAGCTTCACGACTTTCTCGATCCACGCCGGACTCGGAGACGACCGAATTGCGCTTGAGTCACTGGAAATTAGGGATTGCCCAAATCTGGAGAAATTCCCGCAAGGAGGACTCCCAACGCCGAGACTCTCTTCGATGTTACTCTCCAACTGTAAGAATCTCCGAGCGTTACCGGAGAAATTGCCCGGGCTCACTTCTCTCCTGTCGCTGTTCATAATCAAATGCCCAGTAATCGAGACGATCCCTGGCGGAATTTTTTCCGAGTAATCTCCGAACACTGTGCATCAGCCTCTGCGACAAGCTCACGCCGAGGATCGAATGGGGATTGAGAGATCTGGAAAATCTCCGAAATCTCGAGATCGAAGGAGGAAACAACGACGTCGAATCGTTTCCGGATGAAGGGTTACTGCCAAGAAGTGTTTTTTCTCTGAGGATAAGCGGTTTCGAAAACCTCAGGGCTCTGAATCGCAAAGGGTTTCGAGATACAAAAGCTCTCAAAACGATGGAGATCAACGGCTGTGGTAAGCTACGGATATCATCGATAGATGAAGATCTTCCTCCTTCCTTGACTTGCCTCCGAATAAGCTCGTGTCCATTGTTGGCGGAGAATTTTGCTGACGCAGAAACAGAGTTGTTCTTGCGCGTTCCACATGTAGAAATCGACGGCGAGTTCTTCTTTTGTTGAAAGATTTTTACTTTACATGCACTAGAGACCTTACTTGATACACACGACATTGTAATTCACACTGTTTACTACCGTTGAAGTTCTTCTTAGAGATCTCCAAAATTTGATAGCTTTTTCTTCTATTCAATCTAAAAAATAACGACTTTTCAGATCCAAACTTGGAAAGAAAAAATTGAAAGAAAAAGGTGAAAAGTCAACCACTTTCAAAACCAAATGCTTCATAAATCCATTAGAGAAAAAGATAATGAAACAGATGAAGTATCTCAGTAGAAGCGAAAAAAAACTCCAAATTCAGAAGCAGGATCATGATGTTTCCAGCTGCTAACGTAACTGTTCTCTAAAGGGTAAAGCCGAAACGGCGAAAACTGGAAGAAAGAAGAAAAAAGAAGTGTTACTGAAGGAAATGAAATGTTTGCAATCATATCTCTTCTGGCTGTGGAAAGCCAGCTTAGTCAGGTCTCTTCTTAGTTTGACGATGGTGGTCGAGTGATTCTTGGCCTCACTGGTGTCTTTGACGGGCTTACCCTGAAAACGAAGAAATAGTCTCAAAATGTAGATCCAATATGAGATTATTCAAGAAAAGATTAAAAGACACTGCACCGATGAAATTTACTACCTTATCGGTTGGGATCCAACGACCATCCCGCTGCAATTTAATGCCCTAAGTGCACTATCCGCCTTTGAAAAACAATACCAAGACATTTTGTCACTCATCCCTCAAATAAAATATTGCAAATGTATGAAACCAACATCCATGAAGAAAAGTTATCCTTTAGTGAAATAGCTGAAGAGATCTCACCAGAGCAAATTCAACAAAAGCTATGCGAGTGGAATGCAATTGGTCGCCAAGAAGCCTCAGGCGAGTTACCTGTTTATATTAGTTAACAGCTTAAAAAATTCACTCTTTATAAGAAAATTCAGGTTTACTAACAAATGAGAGAGGGAGAGAGATCAAGTAGGCACAGGTTCTGTACTGACCTCACCACATGCCGACTCAAAGAAGTTTCTCACATCAGCTTGAGAAACCTGCAAGTGTAGAAAAATAACTTAAACCAGGAGATACTTACTACAAACAAACAAACAAAAGTATTATATATATATATATATATATGTTTGTATATAATTCAGAAATTACCTTCTTGTCGATATTTGTGCAATAGATTGTCCTTGTACACATCTCCCTTTCATCTTCTGACTGAATTAACACCAACATAGTATATATCGAAGTTTATTCAAAACTCAAAACTTTAAACCAAAATTTATAACAATGGAACTTTAGAGGAACGTTTGGTCTTACCCTGGGAAGAAACGTTGGATTCACTGGAAGAATAGCAGTTTTTGAGGGTAAGACCCTCACCGGGTAGTAACCGAGCATTGTCCCACCAAGGCTTAAAGCTTCACGTGCCCCCTCTGTATCAAAGAAAAGGTTTACTATGTTATGGATCAAAGAGTGATATGGAAATGGCAATTCAAGAATCTAACTTACGGTCATCGGCAAACTCAACGAACGCAAAACGAAGCACTGAATGTGGATCCCCACAAATTCTACAATCAAAAACCTTCACAAAACAAAAAAAAAAGAATAATCCAATGTTACTTCACAAACAATCATATACCACTAAAGTAACATTCTTTAGCTTTAGCACAGAGTCAAAAACTTGTATTAGATTAAACACATTGTACAAAAGCATTTAAAGCCTTGAAAGATCATCTTACTTGTCCACAGTTACTAAACAAGCCAGCAAGACCCTCCTCAGTCACCTAAATTACCAAATCAGATTTATGTTACATTCATGTGCAAATAATTAATTCAAATTGTTTAGAGAACATTAACAAACTTACACTCTGGTCAATGTCAGAAACATAAACTGTTCTTCTAATGCTATCCTCTCTTTGAGCCTTGGAAATTCTACCAGTTAACCTCCTCCTCCCTTGGCTATAGTTGTTTCTTCTCTGTAATCAATCAAACAGAATAAAAAATTAACATTTAATCAAAAGTTTACAACTTTATAACAACAAAACAAAAATATTAGACTAAATTATAAGCCATATCAATCCAAATCCGAATTATCAGGATCATACCTTCCGGGTATTGTCATCTTTCTTGCCATCAAGATCAAATTCTTCACCGAACTGCTTCTTCGTGGTCGGAAAATCATCAGCCGACAGAAACTGATTACCTTTCCCAATCTGATTGCTCTTCTTCGGGTTGTGGTAAGAAGGGAAAAACTCCTTAGCCAAAGGATTCAGCTTTTTGAACATGGCCACAAGCTTCTTCATATCAAACTCGGATTCCGGTTTGAGCTCGGATTCGGTTTCGGTTTTAGAACCCGTGATCGACCCCTTCTCAGTTCCGTCGCCGGTGATCTTATCGCCGTCGATATCGATACTAATCTCATGAACATCTTCCACGACATTAGTGGGTCTCTCAGTGATCGCAGCCATTGGATCAGATTCCCAGGACTCAAAACTTGTAACTTTAACGAAAGATCGAAACTTTAACGAAAGATGATCAAATATATTCGGTTAAATCCAAAAATGTGACACTCTTAATTGAAGAAATTCCACCAGATTAGTGCAAGCAAACACGAAAATGGTTTGATCTCGTAGATGTATATAAACAGAAGCTTAGTCAAAATGTATTAATCAACCCATAAAGGGACAAAAGAGCTTGTGAATACACAGAAAGCTTTTCTCTGTGGTGTGGTTATGGCGGTGAGCATGAAGACGAGAGAGAGAGATGAAAGAAAATAAAGGAATGATGAGGTTTTTTTTGCTTCCGTTTTGGCCGCTCTCTATTTTGGCCTTTTTTGCTTGCAAAGACGCTAACTTGGCAGAAAATTATTATTATTATTGTTGTGCTCTATCTCCTTTTTTTCCTTGCAAAAACAAATTGCTCCATATTTTTAAATTTCGATTTAATTCATAGTTAAGAGTAAAATCGATATGTTATCGTATAAGGAATCGTATAAAGTTACAATATCGATCATGCTTTAAAATATTTTATTCCATTTTGTGATTATATTCTTCTTCTTTTTTATTCTTGTATATATAGCTTCATTTTTGTTGTTTTACATTTCTTTTTTCAAACAATTTTGGTGTCGTAGACTCGTTAAATTAATTAACAAATAAGTCCGTTGCCTGCTGTTACTGCTGCATAAATCTTTGGGGTTTGTTAGGATTTTTATCTATTTTCTATTATTTTTTATTGTATAAGTTTCGTATTTCTCGCTACTCTCCAGTATTTAAAAAATGGAAACAAATATCTGATTATTCAACAACAGAATCCTCCATCTTCGTTAAATAAAGTGTATTTCTAAATGTTCTTTTTAGTAAAATTACATAAGTGAATTTTTCAGTGTTTATGTGGTTTCAAACATTTAGTTTTTAGCTTCAAGGATTTTCATCTTATTGTTAATTGTTAAACAATTATTTTCGTTGACCAAAAAAAAAAAAAAAAACCGTTTATCAGTCCTCATTGTTCTATATATTTCTCAACAAGATATATAATACCATTAATGTTACATTTTCGTTTACTCGTTTCTCGTTTGAGTGATACATCTACTACAATACTATACCACTCATTTTTCTTTAAATGGGTTAATCCTATGAAAGACAGAAAAGCGTAAATGGAATAATATTACAGTATGACTGTATGAGGTTGTCTTTGACAACAAAAGAGAAAAAAATGTTAAATTTGAAGTGTTATCAGTTATCATGTTTGACTAGTCCACAAGGATCTGTTAGTACAACATTACACTACTAATAAATACACACTTTATATCCCACACATATGTCACATATTAGTTTAGTTTTAGAAACAAGAAGGGTCGACTATGATAAGGTGCCAACTTATATTTTAATAGTTATATAGTTACTATTTGCTAGAATATTTAAAACGTTTTCTCCCCGTTGCAAACATGCGACTCGACGTGTCACAAGACTCACAACAATTGAAGGATGAAACAGAACTTTATTTATTTTATTTTTTTTTTTATTTTTTTTTCTAAATTTGATTTTCCAAAGGCTTTCGAAAACATGATCTTGTATCCGGTTACATGTTATCTCATCATTAAAGGCGCGACTAGATGACCAAGGCGACTCGAACCCACGTGGCGATACCATTGGGCCAAGGCAACTTGGTTAACTTTATATTTTATAAAGTATACCAAACCAATATTCAAAAATATATTATCTAAAACGCATTCGATTGGTCAAAGAGAATTACAAAGAAATTATTATACACGTTCAGCTGATATAAAGACCAAATTTTCTTCTTCTTCTTGACGGCAAATTGAGAACAAATGTGTCTTGTTCTGTTCTCTTCAATAACTAATGTATAAGCATGAATGCATGACAGTGACAGATATATACGGTTTATGTTCCATTTTGATATTTTGTTGTTTATCATGTGCCTACAGGCCTACAGGGAGTCATAGACCCAAGCAACTGACTTAACTTGATGACACGAGCTCCTTTTGATCATAAAATTTGAAATTTTCAGGTACAGCGCTGGTCGTTGTATATATAATAAAATCCATATATATAAATATATTCAGCCTCTCCTCGACAAAGTATTATAATTACTTCTGACACTATTGCTGTTTTCTTCTACTTAATAAATAATTTCATATTTGACCGTTACAAAATAATTTTTATATAAAATGTTACTAAATTCGGATTAGTAGATGTTAATGGTGGGTCTGTCATCCTTTTATTGGGCCCACCCATATCCAACCAGAGCCCACTATTCCGATCAAGGCTCATTACGCCCATCAGACCCGTTAAGAAATCCGACCAGAGTTTCCCAGCAAGACCCACGGCCCATGTTCTAGAATCAGAGAAAGAGACGCGGGTCCCACTGCTACGTCATCCGTATTTTTGGGAATTGTCCTAATCTTTCATACTAAGAGCAATAGTAAACATTATGTAAAGGGAATTAACCTCTGAATAAGAATCAATTGATCAGAGCGTCGCCGTTGTCCGCGAAAATACGGTTGTTCACCTCGACGGGAGTTAATATTCGCCAAGACGAAGACGGCCCCGACGGCACGACCTTGCGACGTTTAAGGGCTTGGTCGGATTTCGCTTTTCTCGATCGACGGGAACTGGGAGAGCTCAGACGATTACATCGACGGTTAATTTCGGGAGTCTCTGACAGAGTCCCCCGATCAGGAGAAGATTCCGGAGTGACAAAATCTGAGTTCACGGAATTATCCGGAGATTCGTCACCACCATGGTCCTCCGACCGAGAAGACAAAGAGGAGCTTGAAGCAAATCGGAACTTGACGGGACCCACGAACCCACGAGATCGGAAGAAGCTCGGAGAAATGCTCGGAAGAAGATGGAAGAGTACAGAGAGATGCTCGGAAGAAGATTCAAAGACAAAAAATAAAGTTCGGAAGAAGGAAATTACGCAGAGAGAAAGGAGTTACCTTGAGAGGCTGCGAGAGGAAAGTGAAGAAATGAGAAGAGGGGGACGGGTTTTTATAGAAGGAGTTTGGAAGATTAAACGACGCAATGATTACGCGTGAGAAGAACAACCTCCGCCGAAACGGACAACCAGTGCATGAGCGGGAATCCGAAGAGGCGCCTCGATCAGAACAACAATCATTACGAAGAAAGAAAGCAAACACGTCAACTCTGCCTCAAGATCTGCGCCGACCCAATCACGCCTCACCTATGACCGCCGAGCTAGGGCGCACGCGTCCCACTCGCGGTCTTGGGGAGACAACTGTTAATAATGGGCCTGTCACCCCCTTATTGGATCGGCCCAGATCCAACCAGAGCCCATTACGCCGACCAGACCCGTTTAGAAATATGACCAGAGCTTCCCAGCAAGGTCTACGGTCCATGTTCTATAATCCTCTTCCACCGCCTAAAGAGATGCGGCTCCCACTGCTCGTCATCCGTATTTTTGGGAATTGCCATAATCTTTCATACTCTATAAGAGCAATAGTAAATATTATGTAAAGAGAATTAATCTCTTAATATCTGTCGGAATTAATAAGAATCATCTGATCGGAGCGCTGCCGCTTCGTGATCGTTATTTTATTTTCCGAATATAACCGTATTTTCTGATCATACTCGTCTTTTCAGATTTTTTTCCAAACTTAGTTCACTTTTATTATAAAACTAGGTGTGAACCCGCGCAATGCGCGGGTGGATTTTGTTTTTTACGGACATTGGACTGTAAGTTTTCTCCTAATAATTGTTAAGAATGAGTTTTTTTCTAATTTGTGTTATGTTGTTGTAGATAATTCATGTTAAGTAAAATAATGGAATAAGGTATTGGTTTCTTAAATGTTTTAATTTCTTACCAAATATTTATAATTAACTTTTTTTTTTAGATTTGGTAAATAAATAATTGTTAAGAATGAGTTTTTGCTAATTTATGTTATGCTGTTATAAATTAATCATGTCTAATAAGGTTGACATATGTTTGTTTTAGTTTTGTACAGCCTGTGTTCATCTTCATTTATATTGTCTTTGAAACCAAGTCTTGGCAATTTTCGTTTGGTAATTAAAGAAGTAGAGAATCCTTAACAGCAGGAAAAGGCATAAACTTTTATTTATAGAATATTTGGACCATTCATATTTTCCATCAAGTTAGCTTACAAAGTCAAGTATTTACCATTCCCGTAACATTTTGTATTATAAATCCCTTTCCACTTGAAAGTAATTTGACTCGATTTAGATTCAGCATCATTGATTGACAAATATTGGCGAAAGTTTAAGTTGCACAATGTAAAGTAAGAATGGGTGAACTATATCTCTTTTATAAACACGAATAACAATACCGTGAAAAAACACATTGTTAGCTAGTTTTTTTTCAAGTCGAGAAGCCATTGAGTTGGAAGCCATTCAAGGTGAACCCATCAGCTCATTTTGCCATTCAGGGAACGGAAGATAGGGTTATCAGCTCTCACAACTCCCACCTGCCAAAACAACAATGGTCAAGAAAAAACAATATTTATACGGACTTTCACAAACTCTCTAACCTAAACCTTAAGATACAACTCTGGCCAACATCAATACAAAAGGAGTATAGAGAGTGGTCAACTGATACCTCAATCTCAGTTGCCTTGAAGTCTTCTTGAAGAACAGATTGCAGAGCGGATATGGCAGTCTACGAAAAGTACAATAACTCAAAGTCAGAAAAAGTAAGCTATTTTTGTTTCAGAGTCTTGGTGTTACCATTTTAAACCTACTACAATACAATAAAGCTGTTTCTTATATTCAACGTAAGAAAAGGAGGAGGATCGGTCATAACTTACCAGCACTGTTTCATCATACGTGAAGGCAGGGTTTTCTTTCATTTTCTTCTCCAAGAAATTGATTGCTTCTTGTTTTTTTATAGAACAGTCTGTAGTTAGACAAGATTGATATAAAAATGAAAAATCAATATACAGAAGATGCAAGTGCAAGATAACAGGCTTATAGCAAGCAGAGTGTAGTCTATATATCAATATCCATGTAAGATAGGAGGCAGAGGCTTATTTTTATCATAACAAGTAGAGTGGTATTACCTACTCCAAGGGGTCTCATGTAAAGCATGTTGTGTGTAGACCTGTGACTTATCTGCAATCCTGTCAGTTAAATTGTTCATGATTAGTAACTTTGAGTTACACACTTCATCAGCGTAGAGGATGATAGAGTGATAGCTTAATTCCACATTAAATTAACTAAGAAAAAAATATAGTATACCATTTCACAAGAATGTCCGCAGGCATCTCGTATCCATATTGGAACCTAAACTCAGCAGCCTCATTCCTTGCTTGTGTGACCAAGGACCTTGAATCAGCTGCAGTATTCAATTACAAGGGTACAGATCTTAGATAAAAACCAGATCTTAGTCAAGCTTTGCAGAAATACTGAAATCAATCATAAACTCTACAATTCACTAAGCAAACATTGCGATTTTATGGGGATATACAAACCTGTTATGCTAGTGGCTAACAATCCAAGCTACTTAGTGACAGGGAAAAGATGAGATACGCTTGACTGATCTAGAAGCTTGTCCTGCATAAATTGCAGCAATCATGAAAGCTCAGATAAAAATCGAAACTTCAGTGAATAAAAGAGTCAAAATCACAAATTTATTGCAACCCAAATAGTGAAATCCCAGAATAAAGCAATCCCTCAACTACATCAAGCGTATAGATCTACACACTAATAGAAGCTGCAAGCTTTTCACATTGAAATCCAAAAACCTTAAATCGTCAAAAAGGGGGACTCACCGGAACTTTCTTCTGAGTGACGACGCATACTGAATCTTTTCTTCGCACACCGATCAATGTGACTCCAGCTGCTTTCACGGCTTTGAATGCATATTCTACGAAATCCGTAACAAGCAATCTCAGTTTTCTGAAAATTTTATCAGGCTATGAAATCGAGAGAAAGAAAAGACTCAAAGAGAGAGTGAGTTTGAAGGATTCGATTACTGACCGACATTGAAGAGAAGATAGTGATGTGACGATCGTATCCACCGCCGCTTCCTCTGCTCATCTTTTTTCTTTTCCCCGGAATAACGGCCTCTATCAGGGAATCCTATAGAATAACAGTAACGCCGGTGTTAAACAGAGAAATCGTAGAAGATAGGTACCATGTAAAATAATACGGAGTCTTACCTTATGATCCAGCAAGAGCAACCGAATAGCTTTGTCGGAAGAACCCCTGTCTCCCCACATACGCAGGAGTCGAACGGTGACGGTGTCCGCCGTGGGGCCCAATACGAAATCGTCAAAGGCGAGGGTAGGCGATGGAGCGTCGACCGAAATACGGAGAAACTTGTTTGAAGGAAAGAGTATGAAAGTGAGGAGATCCGATTTCGGAGAAGCAAAGCGAGGAAAGAAAGGGAGAAGAGAGTGGAGGAGGCCTTCTATAAAGGATCAGGAATTGCCAGGGCATCTCCAATGTACTTCTCCATATTTTACTCCAAAAATGAAGAATTTTCAAAATGGGGTTGGATTTTGTTCCAATGTATTGCTTCATTTTTTGCTTCAAATTACTAATTTTTTTATTAATTACTAAATTTACATTGTATATTTATATCTATTACAAATTACCCCATATATTTTTTCTTCAAAACTTTCACAATTAATTATAATTATTTAAATTAATTATGAAAATATTAATAATACATTATTACAAGACTAAAAATAACAACACAAAATGAATTTTATTTTTAATTAGAACCATTTGAATATCTTTCCCATAAATGATCAACTAAACCATTTTGAAGAAAGAAATAAGCATCTTCATCTTTAATCTCCCTAAATTGAGAAAAAAATTCTGGAACTGAATCGTTTGCGGCTATTTCGACTTCTAGAGGTGGAGATCAACAGGAACTCTCACAAACTACTTATTTTGGATAATATTTTAGTGATATTGGTGGATCTGGAAACTAAATTAAATTAAAAATCAGTAATAAGTTGTTTTAATAAATTTCTTTTTGATGTTATTTCTAATAAAATGTTTTTCTTTTAAAAAAAAATTATTATTAGCTTAAATAATTAAATTTCTTATTAAATATGTTTTATTTGTATTTTAGAGTAAAAATAATATCAAAATAATTAATTATATATCTTGAACTAATTTAAAATTTTAAGGAGTGTTATATAAATTAAAAACTTCAACTCCAAAATGGAGATGAAAATGGGATCAATCTCATTTTGGGAAAAAATATGGCATTTTGTCATTTTGAGATTGAAAATGGAGTTGAGTTGGAGCAAAATTGGCTCTAAAATGGCAATAAAGGTGAAATATGGGGCTGGGTTGGAAATGCTCTTAGTCTCTTAAATTTCATTAATTACCAAAGTGTCATTAATGAATATGACTCGTCATTAAAATTAAAGTAAAATAAAAATTTAAATTCAACAAATGAGAATGGAGAGAATATGGTCCCACGATTTACTCTAATTTTTTTTCCTAGCCGCCGAATCAACCTCCTTGACACGTGGCATTTTAGTTTAACTTTATTTTTATTATTTTCACTGAGCTATCCTCTAAAATATCGACACGTGGCATTTAAATATTAATTTATTTTATTCTTTAAACCAAATTTACACATAGTTTTACCCAAGATATTAGTTGTACTCCTCTCTAAATAGTTGTACATTAGTGATTAAAATTGATATATAGTTGTACATACTCTAATTTTAATAATTTTAGGTTTTACTTGTGATTGTAAGTAATATTTTTATCTTCTTTACGTAATTATGTAATCAAAATTAGCATTTTTGCATCTTTAGATGGTGTTTATTAACAAACTAACCATGAAAGTATAAGATAGATATAGTTAATTCTTGATGATAAAATTTATTTTTATCAAAACTATGTTTACTAAATAGATATATTGTAAGTTAAGTATTGTTTCATTTTCTCATGTACTTTATGCTTTTTAATACATCAAATTTTCACTTGATAAAACAAAGTTTTGTAAACTTATAATTTAAATGCGAGAAATATTTAGTATGAACTAATACATTATTAATTACATAGTAAAATAAGAAAGTACACATATACATCCTCATTTGATCATAATGTGTATTCTAACATGACATTCATCTCAAAATTTGAGAATGGTAAAAACAAGAAATACCACCATATTCCAAAATCTCCAAAAATTGGAATTAGCTCACGGTTTGGCGACAAACCAATCCCAATGAAACCAGTAGTTAGTATAACACTCGAAACACTAAAAAAAACATGAAATTTGTGGGTTTTGCTAGATTTGTTCTTCTTCTTCATCTTCTTCGAATAAAGGGAAGGAGATGAAAAAATTAGCTTCTTCCACAGCTTCATTTGACGGAAAATAAGAACTTCACGGTCTTCAGCAGAGAGAACAAAAGTTACAACCAAAATCGCATCCTCAGCTTTATTATAAGTATAATTGCTTACAATCTCACTCTTGTTCAAATTTCTCATCGATATAATTGTTATCTCCTCTGCTACTGTTCGCTTTGCTCTCTTTACTGTTGGAACCAAATTTAAAGTCCTCATGGGCTGAATAAATTGTGGACAAATGTGAAAAGAAATGGGCTTAGGCTCATGTAAAATGAATGAGAAATTTGAGTGAGTTAAATGAAGGAGTACTTGATTTTGTCCCACATTGGAAAGAAGGAACTTTTTCCTCTTGTTTAAATATAGACATTTCCATACAATGTTCAATAGCATTTAGTGGGAGACTATGGACCTTGAGAGAAAGGGGGCCATTATGCAAAAAAAAACCACACGCGCGCCGCCGCCGCCGTGCCGTGCCGAGCCGGGCCGGGCTCGGGTCTTGGGTCTTGGTGAATGTGGGCTTCGCCCACAAATTCCTATCAAGGTTTTTGCTAAAGCCCTACCCGAAATTGCATAATGTGTAGAATAAATCTTCCAGAAGATTGAGTTCGTTTTTCGGTTTCCTTGATAAACTCGAAAAGATATTCGGAATATTTCCGTATCCCTTTCGATAAACATAAAGGAGAATATCTTGCGGATATTCCTTCCTTGCCGACCAAGTCTTCTCACAGCTATAAATAAAGGGCCTCACCCCTCTCATTATTGATTCACTCGAATATCAAAACACTCCATCAAAAATCTCTCGCATCTCTTCTCCTCTAAACGTAAGTCTCGAGAGTATAGCGTAGTTATTTAGTTCGTAGATTCTGTAGTCCGGTGTTGGGACTATAGTCTCACGTAGTTGTATCCTGGGATTCAAAAGTCTCATGCAAACCGCCACACTGCGGGAGATTTATTGAGTTAAGGAAAGAGATCAAATCTCGCCTCTGCGTAATTCGTCTATTTCCAATCGTATTTTTAATTATATATTATTTATTATATAAGATTTTATTTCGTGTTTTCCAATCTGGATTTTCGCGGTCCTACAGTCTTAACTCAATAAATCCGATCTTCCTTATCGCCTGAATCGGATTGGAATATAGCGAAACAGTTTTTTCTTATATGATATATAAAACGGTTTGCTTATAGATCTAAAACAGTTCTGCGAAAGCTCTCTAGCTATTCAGCAGAAAGTTTCGATCTCAAAAAAGACGAATATCATTACTTGATAAAACGATTTACGCGACAGCTTTTAGCAGGATCGCGAAAACGTTTTTTCAACTTTATTATATCTGATCTCTGATCTAATATAACGTTTAAGAGCAAGTCTCTGTGAACTTAGCGAATATTTTCGCACACCCCACAATACTGACAAAATCTGTCTTTGTGATACAGATCCATAATGTCTGGTACTGCTAATGGAACCAACGGGACTGCTGGGGATCAGCCTGCGGCTAATGTCACGGGTCAACTGGCTGCACTCGCTGCACCAACTTTGCCTAGTAACATAAGCGCAGCACTTTCGCCTGACAAATTCGATGGCACGAATTTCAAGCAGTGGCAACAGAAGATGCACTTCTTCCTTACCACGCTGAACCTGGCAAAATATCTTGTTGAGACAAAGCCTGAGGTGCCTGCTACTCAAGAGGCAAACCCAGATCCACGAGTACACATGACTCTGGAGAACTGGAACCAAGGAGATTTCCTGTGCAAAGGTTACATTCAAAGTCGCCTGGTGGATCAACTGTTCAATGTGTACAGTGAGGTCAAAACATCCAAGGAGCTGTGGGAAGCCTTGGATAAGAAGTACAAGACGTTCAATGTGGGCTCAGGAAAATTTGCTGCTGCAAAATTTCTCAACTTCGTAATGGTGGACTCAAAACCCATCATGGACCAAGTGCATGACCTGCAGATGATACTCCAAGAGATATCAGATGAAGGGATGAAGATCTGTGAGACTTTCACAGTGAATTGCTTCATTGAGAAGTTACCCCCTGGATGGGCAGACTTCAAGAACTATCTTGCCTTCAAGCAAAAGGCATTGACTTTGGCCAACTTGGTTTCCAGGCTGCAGAATGAGTCACTGAAGCGTGAAAAAGCTGAACCAGTTCAGACTCATGATGCAAATGTGGCCGAATTTCGCAACAAACCTAAAGGCAGGTTTAACCCCAACAAGGGTGCACTCAACAAGGTTGCTAATCAGGCCTCCACGGGCTTTAAGAAACAGGCCCAAGCCCACCAATTCCCAAAGAAGAAATCTGGATTCTCAGGGAAGTGCAATCACTGTGGCAAGGTTGGACATCGCGGAGCCGATTGTCGCAGCAAGGCCAAGGAGAAAAACCAAGCCAACTTGACAGAGTCTGACATGGTGGCTGTTGTTACAGAAGCCAACATGGTTGAAGAGAATCCGGCACTATGGTGGTATGACACTGGTGCTACCACACACATCTGCATTGACAGACAGATGTTCAGCACATACCAGAAAAGCAAGGGAGATGATCGTCTGCTGATGGGAAATGTGTCCCACTCCAAGATTGAAGGCACTGGAAAGGTGGTCCTGAAGATGACATCTGGAAGAGAGCTCACACTCAACAATGTGAAGCATGTTCCAGACATGAGGAAGAATCTGATTTCTGGCACTCTGATGAGCAAGCATGGATTCGCCATCAACTTTGAGTCTGACCAGCTGATTCTCAGGAAACATGGTGTTTTTATAGGAAAAGGTTTTGTTAAGGATGGACTGATTAAGATGTGTGTATCTCCAGTCCAAAGAAACAATGTTGTACCTGTTTCCAATGATTTGATTAATAAGAAACCAGTTACTTATTTGGTTGAGTCTTCTAATATTTGGCATGAAAGATTAGGA